CTATGAACTGATTGCCCAAACAATATATCTCTGGTTGACAGTCATGGCCTATTATTGTTGTTGTTAATTGACAACACTCTGCACATGTATTGTCCAATCACCGTCCAAACTTAAAGCTTGGCTGTGGATTTATTGTATGTGCCATACGCTATTCATAGCTACAAAATTGCAATCTCTTAAAAATGTTCTTGAATACAGTATTTCTTTTGTCACATAACCCATATGTTGATGATAAAGTTTGCTGTATGAGCTTCTGGCATACTGATCCGACAGGTGGCAGGTATACATTCAGATGCTGCAGCTCTAAGGGAGGGTAGTATATGGCACGCGGCTTCGTGGATTGTTCAACAAGAAGTGTTTGGGCGTATTTGAAAGGCAATATTGTGAACATTGTACATCGATTTCCTTATTCCGCCATCAGCTTCTATTCATACGAGCGATACAAAAAGTTCAGTACTCACTATTGTTTTGTATACACCGGGTGTGATGGTCTTCGCCGGGAGCCAAACCACAGGCACTCAGAAAAGTAAGAGACGCCGAGCGTGACTCTCGGCAAACACATATTAATGCCGAGAGTAGGCCTTGTCAAAAAGGCAACACTCGGCAAAGGAACTATTTGCCGAGGGCCAAGTGGCCACCACACGGCAAAGTTTTGCCACGTGGAAGGCTGCAGGATGAAGACGAAAAAAGTTCCGGCGTGTAGTGTTTTTGCGCCACATTCCTATGGAAAAAAAGTTCATCGTGTATACAAAAAAAAATATTCATCATCTATTCAGAAAAGTGTTCATCATGTACTTGAAAAGGTGTTCAACAGATAATTGAAGAAGTGTTCAACGCATATTTGATAAATGTTCATCTTCTATTTGAGAAAGTGTTCAACACATCTTTGATGTTGATCATGTGCTTCAAAAATGTTTACTGCGTATTTCAAAACGTGTGCATAAGAACCAAACAAACTACAGGCCTTTGATACAATAGTAATACGTTCGTACCTGAAGCCCGCGACATGGCAAGCCCCCCAATCCCACACATGCCCGTCGTTGGAGCGCCGCACTTTGCCTCCGGCTGCCTTAACACGCGCCCTCTCGTCCGCCCGCTCCAACCATATCCACGCCTCATCAAGCTCAAAATTTGTCCATAGGAGAAAAAGACAATGTGCATGACGCGATTAATCTCACCTTGTGGTCCTCAGAAAACGGGATGGCATCACCGGCGCAGCAGAGCACGGCACGGGAGTCGCTGCAGTTTGCCAACAGGATGCTGCCGCGGGCCAGAAGCGCCACCAAGGCAGTGCGTCCGCCTCTTCGTCGGCCCCATCAACCACTACCGGAATAACCCTATATGCCTACGGCCTTATCTATGCCGACGGCTTTTTGTCGGGGCCGTAGGCATAGTTAGGTCGTCGGCATATATCGATCTATGCCTACGGTGGCCGTAGGCATAGTTAGGCCGTCGGCATAGATGTGGCCCTGGTGGCCCAGGGACAAACGGCGGGCTGACGCCGTCAAATCTATGTCGACGTCCCTGACGGCGGCCGTCGGCATAGATATTATCTATAGTTTTTTAGTAGGAGCTTCCACGTGGCAGAGCTATGCCGACGGCAAAGCCGTAGGCATAGTTTTCCATCTATGCCTACGGCCTTGCCGTAGGCATAACCCCGCCACGTGGCGCCTCCTGGCAGCCCCTGGCCGAGAACTATGCCTACAGCCATGCCGTAGGCATAGATATTATTTGTTTTTATTTTAAATTATTTTTATTTTTAAGTTAAATTTTGTTTAATTTAAATCTAACTTATCTAAACTTAAACATACACAAATTATACATCGATTTAGGGTAGAATTTTCCATAGATTATGAATATCCAGTTTGTTTTTGTTTTTGAGTATGTTAGAAATGTGGCCTCCTATACTTTTGCATGTAGGTCCTTCTGCTTTATTAAAATCATAAGTAATTGATACTTGGATTGATTTTGACAAAATTTATATGGTTTTTTATCAGAATCTTGAAAGGATTATGTGTTATACTATGTTTCAAATTTGAACAAACTTAAATCATGTTTGCTTCATCAGATTGTTTCAAGGACTGTGGTGGCGGGTGCAAAGGCAACTGGCTCAGGAGTGTGACCCTTCATGGACGCTGATGCCGCTGTCACTTGGGGGGAGGAAACGGCCATGTCGGGTTGACACGAAGGGAATCTTATGGTGGGTTTGTCCCAGACCTTGTTCTCAAGTGTTCCTATGGGCCGACCTATCACAACCAGGTGAAAACGTCCATTGGTCAAAGCTCATCCGGTGAAAGTCAAAGGCGTAGATTTCCGGGTCAACTTGTCCAGGGTTCGGCTGACCGGGGACCGGTTCGGCTGACCGAGTCCTCATACATGCCGAAAGATGTGGTGCCATGTCTAAAGAGGCAATACGCGGCTCCAGTGTGAGGTTCGCCCTCATGAACGGCGATGCAATCGAAGTAATCCTTTTGCGGTTTTGGCGTTGCATGAATATTCCTGAACACTTGAGCGTAATCAATTCATGAGATTTTTACACAGTGCAGACACATATGATATAATATGTGTGGCAATTTCTTATATTTTTGTAAGATGCAGGAGTATGTGAAAAAATCCCCCGCCATGGATTGTTCTTCGCATGTCTATGAGTGTGGTCGAGGGCCTTTGGGGGCTAGCTACGCCATCAAATCTTGCGCCAGGTCCTCTTACATGTCTGGAAGTGTGCTGTCAGGTGCAAACAAACGACATGCGGCTCCGGAGTGTGACCCCCTTCACGAAAGGTGCTGCCGCCTGCACTTGCAGGGGGGGGGGGGGAATGGCCGCATCGGGTCGACACGAGGGGGGTCCACTGGTGTGTTGGGCCCAGACCTTGTTTTGAAATGTTCCTATGGGCTGACCTATCACAACCAGGTGGAAAAGTACGTTGGTCAAAGGCTGTCCGGTGAAAGTCAAAGGCCTAGATCTTCGGGTCAACCGGGCTAGGATTAGGTCGGTCGGGGGCCTTGGGGGTATCAATGGTACCCAAACTTGCATTGTGTCTTAATATATGTATACAAGTGCGATGGAGGGTTGAAATACCCAATGGAGGAACGGGTAACACATTTCATTCACAAACCAGACACGTTCTCTCTCGATAGCTAGATACTAACTCGGAGATGCTGCAGTTAACAAGCGGCCTCCGGTCAGGCTTCTGCGAAACGCGCTCAAACTTTTACCACACCCTACAAGGGGCATATGAAGACACTGTGCCGGGTCCCGAGGATTTCCGCAATCATATGATTTTTCACAGATTTTTATGGC